AATCCTGCTCGATACGTCTTCACGATTTACTCCGAGAGCCCCTGGCCAGCAAGGCCCCCGAACTGAGAAACGGCACTCCCGCTCGAGAATTTGTCGTAATTCAGGCAAGTTGGCGGAGGCCCAGACACGGCGACAAGGGTGCCCTTTGGATATTTCTCCGTAGGTATTCCGAGAGCCCCTGGCCACAGATGCCCCCGAACTCAGGAACGGCGTTCTCGCTCGAGATTGCTTCCTCGCATTTCAGTCAGTGGCCTGGCCGACAAGGAAAAGATTCCCCCCGAAAGGGCGTGCAATCGAACACGAAGTGGGCGGGTATCGAGTGGTGGGGTATACAGAATGCAAGACACGCGTGCCAGTAAGAGCGAACAGTCCTAAAATGGTTATTGTTGTGGTTGAGTGTCAATTACTAAACACTTATCATTGTTGGACCCCTTATAGGTGCCCTGGCGCTCTCGCCGAGGCGCCGGCTACATTTTCATTGAAAATGAGGCTCACGCTTGAGCGGTTCGGGGGACCGCCAAAACCGGCCCCCCAACAACAACAATTCTCCCGCTCGAGACTTTCTCCCTTTTTACTCAGGGTTGGTGTTCTTGCTCGCCGCCGAAAGCCGCCGTCCTAACAAAACCAGCGCTCCCGCTCGAGACTTCCTCCCGTTTTACCTTGGACTGACGCGCTAGTCTTTCTCTCATCGGCGCAGCCCCCAGCAAAAACAACGCTCCCGCTCGAGGCTTCCTCATTTTTTTACTCAAGGCGGTGTTCCTCCTCGCTGGCGAGAACCGCCGCCCCGACAAAACCAGCGCTCCCGCCCGAGACGTCCTTCCGTTTTACGCTGGACTGGCGCCCTACTCTCTTTTGAATTGGCGCCGCTCCCAGCAAGAACAACGCTCCCGCTCGAGGCGTCCTCCCTTTTTCCTGAAGACGGTGCTGTTCCTCGCCGCCGACAGCCCCCGTCCCGACACAACCACGGCTCCCGCTCGATGCTTCCTCCCTTCTTGCTCAAGGCGGTGTTCAACGGTGTTCATCCTCGCCGGCGAGAACCGCCGCCCCGACAGAACCAGCGCTCCCGCCCGAGACGTCCTTCCGTTTTACGCTGGACTGGCGCCCTACTCTCTTTTGAATTGGCGCCGCTCCCAGCAAGAACAACGCTCCCGCTCGAGGCTTCCTCCCTTTTTCCTGAAGACGGTGCTGTTCCTCGCCGCCGACAGCCCCCGTCCCGACACAACCACGGCTCCCGCTCGATGCTTCCTCCCTTCTTGCTCAAGGCGGTAGGGCCAGGTCCTTGCCTCACCTCCGACAGCCCCCATCCCCACCAAGGCAATCCCGTCGTTCGATACTTCCTTGTGCTTTACCCTTCGCTGGGGTTCCACTGGCAGTCTCGCATCGGCGCAGCAAGGCGCGGGCATGTGCTTTCGAGGCGGGATGCGTCGAAATTCCTTGGAGGAGGTGTTTGCAAGACCTCATTGGGCGGGAGATCTGGGAATGGGAATAACGGACCCCGCTATAGAACAAGAGTCCCCCATGATGTGGATGGTTATCATGATGGTCGCATGCTTCGTGTGGGAACATCGCGCATGAGGGTCAACTGATTGTTGTGGTTGTGGTTGTGGTTGTGGTTGTGGTGGTGGTGGTGGTGGTGGTGGTGGTTGTTGTTGTTGTTGTTGTTGTTGGTGTTGGTGTTGTTGTTGTTGTTGTTGTTGTTGTTGTTGTTGTTGTTGTTGTTGTTGTTGTGGTTGTTGTTGTTGTCGTTATTGATGTCGTCGTTGTTGTTGTTGTTGTTGCTGCTGTTGAGTCTTCATCTCTACGTAAATAATAATTATTTTTGATCTCGGGAAACGGTTTCGCGCGCTTTCGCCTCGACGCCGGCTACATGGTCTCCGATAACGAGGCTCCCGCACGAGCGTTGGCTTGAGTCTAAATGTGGGCCCTTGGAGGCCCTGCGACGCCGACAACGACTCCCGCTCGATACTTCCTCACAATGGACCCCGAGACACCCTGGCCAGAGAGGCCCCCGAACTCAGGAACGGCGCTCTCACTCGAGACTTCCTCGCAATTCAGTCAAGTTGGCGGAGGCTCAACCACGATGACAAGGACTCCTGCTCGATACTTCCTCACGATTTACTCCGAGAGCCCCTGGCCAGGAAGGCCCCCGAACTCAGGAACGGCACTCTCGCTCGAGAATTTGTCGTAATTCAGGCACGTTGGTGGAGGCCCCGGACACGGCGACAAGGGCTCACGTTCGATATTTTTCCATCGGTATTCCGAGAGCCCCTGGCCAGCGATGCTCCCGAACTCAGGAAAGGCGTTCTCGCTCGAGACTTCCTCGCATTCCAGTCAGTGGCCGACAAGGAAGACATTTCCCATGAAAGGGGGTGCAATCGAAGACGAAGTGGGCGGGTATCGAGGGTTGGAGTATACAGAATGCAAGACACGCGTGCCAGTAAGAGCGAACAGTCTTGAACTGATTGTTGTTGTTGTTGTTGTTGCTGTTGCTGTTGCTGTTGCTGTTGCTGCTGTTGTTGTTGTTGTTGGCGTTGGCGTAGTAGTAGTAGTAGTAGTAGTAGTAGTAGTAGTAGTAGTAGTCGTCGTATCGTAGTAGTAGTAGTAGTAGTAGTAGCAGCAGTCGTAGCAGTAGTAGTAGTAGTAGTAGTAGTAGTAGTAGTAGTAGTAGTAGTAGTAGTAGTATTCGTAGTATTCGTAGTATTCGTAGTATTCGTAGTATTCGTAGTATTCGTAGTATTCGTAGTAGTAGTAGTAGTAGTAGTAGTAGTAGTAGTAGTAGCAGTTGTTGCTGAGAACGTGTTCCTGGGGCCCGGTTTCGTTGCGGGGGGGGGCGCGTAACGCAACCGCGTAACGCTCGAGCGCGAGCGTGGTTGGGTTGCGACCTCCTTCCCGCGAGTTGCGCCCCCTCCCTTGCGCGTCTCGTGCGCCTTTTGCGGGGCGCATCATAGGATTCTGCGACACTCCGCATGGTATCGGTATCGGATCCCATACACGCTGTATGGGATTTGTATCGGATCCCATGCAGGCCGTATGGGATATGTCCTGTACCATCTCTATAGAGTTTTCCCAGTAGGTCCTGTACGTACTATTTCTGTAAAGTTCCCAGTAGGTCTTGTACCGTCCCTACAGAGTTCCCAGTAGGTTTGGTACCATCTCTATAGAATTCCCAGTAGGTCCTGTACCATTTCGCGGCGGCGTCGGCATCGGCGTCGGCGTCGGCGTCGGCGTCGTCGTCGTCGTCGTCGCCGTCGTCGTTCGCCTCCTCGTCCGCCTCCTCCCCCGATGCGGAGTCGCCGCCGCCGTCGCCGCCGCCGCCGCCGCCGCCGTCGTCGTCGTCGTCGTCGTCGTCGTCGTCGTCGTCGTCGGCGTCGGCGTCGGCGTCGGCGTCGGCGTCGGCGTCGGCGTCGGCGTCGGCGTCGGCGTCGGCGTCGGCGTCGGCGTCGGCGTCGGCGTCGGCGTGGGCGTCGGCGTCGGCGTCGTCGTCGGCGTCGGCGTCGGCGTCGGTGTCGGCGTCGGCGTATGCGTCGGCGTCGGCGTCGGCGTCGGCGCCGGCGTCGGCGTCGTCGTTGTCGTCGTGTCGGCGTCGGCGTCGTCATCGTCATCGTCGTCGTCGGCGGCGGCGTCGGCGTCGGCGTCGGCGTCGGCGTCGGCGTCGGCGTCGGCGTCGGCGTCGGCGTCGTCGTCGTTCGTCGTTGTCGTCGTCGTCTTCGTCGTCGTCGTCGTCGGCGTCGGCGTCGTCGTCGTCGTCGTCGTCGTCGTCGTCGTCGTCCGCCTCCTTCTTCGCCGCCTGCTCCGAGGCGGAGGCGCAGGCGGATGTGGAGGCGGAGGAGGCGGACGCGGAGGCGGACGCGGAAACGGAGGAGGCGTCGTCGTCGTTGTGGTCGTCCGCCTCCTCGGAGGCGGAGGCGGAGGTGGAGGCGGAGAAGTAGAAGGCGGAGGCGGAGACGGAGGCGGAAGCGGAGCAGGCGTCGTCGTCGTCGTCGCCGACGCCGTCGTCGGAGGCGGGGACGGAGGTGCAGGGGGAGGAGGAGGAGGCGGAGAAGTCGTCATCGTCGTAGTCGTCGTCGCCGCCGTCGTCGTCGTCGCCGCCGTCGCCGCCGTCGTCGTCGTCGGCGTCGGCGTCGGCGTCGGCGTCGGCGTCGGCGTCGACGGCGTTGTCGTCGTCGTTGTCGTCGTCGTCGTCTGCCCCCTCCTCCGATTCCTCCTCCGGGGCGGAGGCGCATGAAGATGCGGAGGCGGAGGAAACGGACGTAGAGGCGGAGGCGGAGACGTAGGCGGCGTCGTCGGCGTCGTCGTCGTCGACTTCGTCGACGTCGTCGTCGTCGTTTTCGTCGTCGTCGTCGGCGGTGGCGGCGTCGTCGACCTCCTCGGAGGCGGAGGCGGTGGCGGAAACGAAGGCGAAAACGGAGCAGGCGTCGTCGTCGCCGCCGCCGTCGTCGGAGGCGGGGGCCGAGGCGGAGGCAGAGGCGGAGGAGGCGGAGGCGGAGGCGCGTCGGCGTTGGCGTCGGCGTCGGCGTCGGCGTCGGCGCGGCGTCGGCGTCGGCGTCGGCGTCGTCGTCGTCGTCGTCGTCGTCGTCGTCGTCGTCGGTCGTCGCCGCCGCCGCCGCCGCCGCCGCCGCCGCCGCCGCCGCCCGCCGCGCGCCGCCTTCGGCTCGGCGTCGCGTCGTCTGCGTCGGCGTCGTCGTCGTTGTCGTCGGCTTCGTCGTCGTCGTCGTCTCGTCGTCGTCGTCGTCGTCGTCGTCGTCGTCAGCGTCGCCGTCGCCGTCGCCGTCGCCGTCGCCGTCGCCGTCGCCGTCGCCGTCGTCGTCGTCGTCGTCGTCGTCGTCGTCGTCGTCGTCGTCGTCGTCGTCCGCCTCGTTGTCCGCCTCCTCGGAGGCAGAGGCGGAGGCGGAGACGGAGGTGGAGGAGGCGGAGGCGGAGACGGAGGCGGAGGCGGAGCAATCGTCGTCTCGTCGTCGCCTCCACCGTCACCGGAGGCGGGGGCGGAGGCGGAGGCGGAGGCGGAGGAGGCGGAGGCGGAGACGTCGGCGTCGTCGAGGAACCACAGCGTCGCCCTCCGCGCAGGGGAGCCGCGCGGGCCTGCCGCCATGGCGGGTCGCGCAGGGCCCCTGCGGGCCACGGCGCCTCCGGAAGCCGAGTCCCTCGTGTCGCCCCCCGCGGCGCCCGAGCTCGAGGCGGCCAGCGGGAGCGGTGGCGGTTGTCGTCGTCGTCGTCGTTGTCGTCGTCGTCGTCGTCGTCGTCGGCGGCGGCCAGTGGGAGTGTCGGATTCGGGCTCATGGAATCCGTAGGGGCACCTAGGAGTGCGCGGTCTTACTGGCCGACCTCCTCTTCGATCCGCCTCCTTCACCTCTGCTGTTGTTAGTGTGCTTTTGCTGGGGTATTTCTTTCCTTCCCCCCCGCCTTGTGTGTCGGCTGCCGGGCGCAGCTGAAAGAGCCGGTCGGGGCGGTGTTCGGGAGGTTCGCGCGTTGCGTAATGGGGGGGCCGAGAGGGGGGGGGTCGGATTCGGGCTAATGGGTCCTTTGCAAGAAGGGGGTCTCACAAATGTGCGCAATAGTTCGTGCAATCGTTTGTGCGGGAGACGCACGTCGTACCATATCAGCGCGTGGCCGCCACGCGCCATGCGCCTGCTGCATTTTTTGGCGACCCCATCCCGAGAAGACTGCCCCTGCCTGGCCAGTGGCGGTTGGCGCGGCCCCGGAGGTCCGATGCCCCGAGAACGTTGTGATGCGGCCGGTTATGGGTGGTCTTTTGTTAGCCTCCGTGGCCCCCCCCGCCACGAGCCCCAGGACCGCCGGCCCGGGGGGAAGTGGCCCAGACCGTCAGGGGCCGCGCGTCGAAGTCGAACAGCTCGGAGCGCCATACACCCAGGGCGGGGGTCGCGGGGTTGGGGACGCGGGGCCTGGGGGGAGGCGCGCGGGGGGAGCCGCGGGGGGGCCAGGCGAGACAAGGGTCGCCTTTTCGGCCCTCGGGGGGGGGCCCTCGCCGACACGGCCGGACGTGGCTCGGAGGCGTGGTGCGCTTCGGGTGGGGGTGGGGCCGTGGCACCGATTCCGAGCGGAGTTGGGAGTTGGGCCGGGCGGGCGGTAGGGCCGCTGTTGTCCCACCGCCGTTGTCTCAAGTTGCCCTCCGCCGAGGGAAGGGGAGTTTACGAACGTCGGAGTGCGATGGACACCTTGTTTTCTAGGCCTCCCAGACGGGGCCGGGGTAAGATGGTGTCGGAGGATCGCGCCGCATCGTCGATGCAGCGGCGATGCGCGGCTCGATGTGGAGCCCGATTTCCTCTATGCTAAGGTCGCCGATGCATCGACGATACATTGGCGATGCGGCGCGATCGTCCGACCACTCGGACCCCACATCTAGGAGGCCTCTATTTCTGCTGCTCGGTGGAGCGACACGACCTCGCAGCCGTGAGCGTCGCATGGGCTGCGAGACCGCGCGATCTTGCGCAGGAAGCGGCGGCATAATCAGCGCTTTAGAGAGGTGCATGTATGAAGATTGAGCGGGAGGAATGTCGAGGGGGAGATGGCAAACGAGGTGCGCTCGCGCCATGTCTGGCATCCGACCCCTCCCACACATCCCTTCCCAGTGCGCTGATGTATCTCTATCCGCGGACGAGTGCCATAGCGGACCAGGAACTTCCAAAACGACTGCATTGCCTTATGCGCAATCGCAAAAGGACAGCTGCGAACGTCGGAGGAAGAGAAGTAGGTGTGGGAGGAGGATAAGGAGGAGGAGGAGGAGGAGGAGGAGGAGGAGGAGGAGGAGGAGGAGGAGGAGGAGGAGGAGGAGGAGAAGGAGGAGGAGGAGGAGGAGGAGGAGGAGGAGGAGAAGGTGGAGGTGGAGAAGAAGGGGGAGGAGGAGGAGGAGGGAGGAGGAGGAGGTGGAGAGGGAGGAGGAGGAGGAGGATGGAGGAGGAGGAGGAGGGAGGAGGAAGGAGGAGGAGGAGGAGGGGGAGGAGGAGGAGGAGGGGGAGGAGGAGGAGGAGAGGGGATGGGGAGGAGGAGGAGGACGGGGAGGGGGAGGAGGAGGAGGAGGTGGAGGAGAGGAGGAGGAGGAGGAGGAGGAGGAGGAGGGAGGAAGAGGAGGAGAAGGAGGAGGAGGAGGAGGAGGGAGGAGGAGGAGCAGGAACGAGGAGGAGGATGAGGAGGAGGAGGAGGAGGAGGAGGAGGAGGAGGAGGAGGAGGAGGAGGAGGAGTGGGGAGGAGGAGGGCGGAGGTGGAGGAGGAGGTCAGAGGAGGAGGAGGAGGAGCAGGAGCATCATCATCATCAATCGTATTAATGATCACAATAGAATTGATACTATTAGTGAGATGAGCACTACGATGAGTCATGGTAGGAATAACACTAAGACGAATGTTATTATTACCTTTGCTAGGACTAGTCGTACTACACGCAACAATACGACTCACAATAATACGAAATATATTGGGATTACTAGTAGTAAGACTAATACGACGACGACTGCGACTTCTCGCACTATTGCTATTAGTCTTAAACTAAGACGACGTAACATAATAGTTGTACTAACAGCATTACGTTAATAAGCAGAGGGGCATTACTACACATACTGATATTGAAATATTAGTACGCGTTTGCATACTACCATGACTAGTAGTAATACGACTAGTATTACGAATACTATTGCGACGACTATTAATCATACTGTGAGTACTAAGAAACATAACATTAAGCATACCACAAGTACGACTGATGCTATTCTTAAACTTAATATTGTTATTCGTAGTAATGGTATAACGGAGTGGTGCTGCTTTTTTATTTTATGGTTCGATACTATTATTAGTACTGCTATTACGAGTACTGTCGGTACGAACGAGCAGAAAAAGTGAGTACACTAATACTGACAATATATCGGCTACTAATACTAGTAGCCGTTGAGAAGTTTACGAACAATAATACGAGCCAGAGGAATAATAATACGACTAGGAATAAGAACCATGCAACTGATACTCATAATGTTGTCAACAATAATGCGATTACGAATGCGAATTATACTACTACTATTACTACTACTACTACTACTACTACTACTACTACGACTACTACTACGACTACTACTACTACTACTACTACTACTACTACTACTACTACTACTACTACTACTACTACTACTAGTACTACTACTAGTAATACTAATACGAATGCTGATGTTATTGCTATTTAAACTAATGCGAATGCTATAAGACTACCAATAATAATAATGATGCTAATACGGATGATAATGCGACTACTACTACTACTACTACTGCTACTACTACTGCTACTACTACTGCTACTACTACTACTACTACTAACAATATTAATAGTAGTCATAATAATAACATTGATACTCGTTCTATTACTAATATTAAAAGTAATAATAGTAGTAATAATAATACGAATGCTAGTTATATGTTATAATATTAATAATATGTTGCCGCGCTCAGTGGCGGAAAGGGGTCCTGGGTCCGACGGGCCAGAGAGTCGCGCAGACGGTTTTACACAAGATTTTGTCACGCTCAGTGGCGCACCTGGTCCGTTTGAGGAGGAGGTCGGAGGGGGGGGAGAGCCTGGTCACCCTCCGCCTGCGTCGGTTCTGCCCGGGACCGACGAGGGCGAGGGCCCCGCATCCGTGCAAGTAATTGCCGCGCTCAGTGGGCTTACCTGGGCAGGAAGGCGGGGGGAGTCAGGGGAACCTTAGTGGAGCTGGCGACGCCCCGCCCGCGCTGATCCTGCCCAGGACTGGCGCTGGCCCTACTGCGCAAGAAGTTGCCGCGCTCAGTGGCGGAAGGGGTCCTGGGTCCGACGGCCCGGAGAGTCGTGGAGACGGTCTCCCTTCCCCGCCACTACCTCGGGTGTCTCCCAGCCTCGTCGCCGCACTACGGCTTCGCTAGGAAGATCTCCCGTCTCCTGCAGGGGCACGCGCTAGTGCCCCTGGCAGTGGCACTCCCGGGTCGGGGCGAGGTGCTATCCCTGTCAGGGTTGAAAGCCCCCCCGTCCAAGGCTGCTAGAATAGGTTGACCTCTCCAAGGAACGGCGGGTCTTCGGAGGCGGAGGAGGCCGATGAGTCCACGCTCGCTGGCACCAGGGCGGCGGCGGCAGCCTGCGACGTGGGTGGCGCCCAGGACGGAAGGGCCCTGCGTGACCGTGACCTCTACGCTGCCTGGGCCCAGAGCACGCCACTCGAGGCAGCCGTGGTTACGCAGACGCACGCGGCCCCTGTTAAGCAAGAGGGCTAGGCTCGACCGACGCGCCGGGCCGTCCGCTTTCCTTTCGCTGCCATGCCTGCGGGGGCCAGGTTCGCACCGTCGCCGCCGTGTGCGCGCCTACGGGGGCCAGATTCTTTCCCGGTGTGCCCCTTTCCTTCTGCTGCTGGCAAGCTGTAGCGAGTGGGTTTCGAGTGCTGGACCCCGCGCTTCGCGCGAATTCCTACCAGGAACGCGCACCCGATGCGGCCTCGACCGCAGGCGCCATGTGAGGTGGCCCGCCCTGCGCCCCACAAGTGGCATACCTGGTCCTCGCCCCGTCCTCCGCCCTCCCTCCTGCTCCCTCCCAGCGCCCCGCCGGCGCTACCCCGCGCGGGCACCGTGCGCTGGCGCCCAGACCTGGTTTGGGCCGCACCCACCTGCCGCCCGTATTGCAGCTATTCCCTCCCTCTTTCACCCCGCGCCGCGATAGCGCCTCCGCGCTGCGTCGCCCCCGGCTTGTAGCTCAGTCTCCTCCTGGCGCCGCCCTGGCGCAACGCCCTGCCCCTGGCGCGGCTGCTGCGCGTGTGCGTTGACGTACGCGGTGGGGTCAACATTTTGCTGATGGCAGTCCTCGGGCTCCTGCGCTAGTTCTACTTGCTCTTCAACGCTGCTGCGCCCTGACAGCGCCCGCGGGTGCGCCCCGGCCATGGCCCCGGCTGCTGCTGCGCCTTCGGTGCCCTGGCTGGCCCCTCCGGCCCGCTCGCCGCGGAATTCTTCCGCCTCTGGGCGCCTGGCTTGTTCTCCCCCCGAGCGGCCGCCCCCTCCTCCCTCTGGTTCTCTTGCACGCCGGACATTTTGCCAATCGGTGCTCCCGGTTAGTCACGCGCTGGTGTCCGCCTCGCCGCCGACGAAAAAAATACTCCAACGGATGGGCCCCCCACATGAAAACTTAATTTTGTAGAGAATATGTACACTATCAGAATGATGCTGCTCCTGCTGACGCTGCTGCTGCTCCTCCTCCACCTCCTCCTCCTCCTCCTCCGCCTTGAGCAGCGTCCATTTCAACCGCGTCCTCCTGACGGCACCGTGGTTGAAATCCCTGCCTCCTCCTCCTCTTTCTCTTCGTCCTCCTCCTCCTTCTCCTAAACCTCCTCTTCCCTCGTGCTACGCCCGTGAGGACCATTTGACGCGTGCGGGCTCGTACGGAATACCCCTCAAGGGCATTTTCCTCGTCATCCTCCTGCTGCCTCCGCCTGCTCCCCGCTGCCTCCTGCTCCTCTTCCTCCTCCTCCTCCTCCTGCTCCTCCTCCTCCTCCTCGTCCTCCTGGTCATCCACCTCCTGGTCCCCCCCCCTCCTCCTCCTGCTCCGTCCTCCTCGTCCTCCTCGTCCTCCTCCTCGTCCTCCTCCTCCTCCTCAGCCTCACGTCTCCTCCTCCTCCTCCTCCTCCTCCGCCTTGAGCAGCGTCCATTTCAACCGCGTCCTCCTGACGGCACCGTGGTTGAAATCCCCGCTTCCTCCTTCCTCTTTCTCCTCCTCCTCCTCCTCCTCCTCCTCCTTCTCCTAAACCTCCTCCTCATCCTCCCTCCGCGCGAGCGGGCTCGCATGGAATGCCCCTGAGGGTCATTCCGTGCGAGCGGGCTCGCTGCTGCCGATAGCCGTTGGAATTCCAACTCTTAGGTGGGACCCCCTAGGGGCCACAGGGGAGGTCCCTTCCGCGCGAGCGGGCTCGCATGGAATGCCCCTGAGGGTCATTCCGTGCGAGCGGGCTCGCTGCTGCCGAGAGCCGTTGGAATTCCAACTTTTAGGTGGGACCCCCTAGGGGCCACAGGGGAGGTCCCTTCCGCGCGAGCGGGCTCGCATGGAATGCCCCTGAGGGTCATTCCGTGCGAGCGGGCTCGCTGCTGCCGATAGCCGTTGGAATTCCAACTTTTAGGTGGGATCCCCCTAGGGCCACAGGGGAGGTCCCTTCCGCGCGAGCGGGCTCGCATGGAATGCCCCCTGAGGTCATTCCGTTCGAGCGGGCTCGCTGCTGCCGATAGCCGTTGGAATTCCAACTTTTAGGTGGGACCCCCTAGGGGCCACAGGGGAAGTCCCTTCCGCGCGAGCGGGCTCGCATGGAATGCCCCTGAGGGTCATTCCGTGCGAGCGGGCTCGCTGTGCCGATAGCCGTTGGAATTCCAACTTTAGGTGGGACCCCCTAGGGGCCACAGGGGAGGTCCCTTCCGCGCGAGCGGGCTCGCATGGAATGCCCCTGAGGGTCATTCCGGTGCGAGCGGGCTCGCTGTGCCGATAGCCGTTGGAATTCCAACTTTTAGGTGGGACCCGCTAGGGGCCACAGGGGAGGTCCCTTCCGCGCGAGCGGGCTCGCATGGAATGCCCGAGGTATGTGATGATGATGATGTTGATGATGATGATGATGATGGTGATGATGATGATGCTGATGATGATGATGATGATGATGCTGCTGATGATGATGATGGATGACGATGATGATGATGATGATGATGATGATGATGATGATGATGATGATGATGATGATGATGATAATGATGATGATGATGATGATGATGATGATGATGATGATGATGATGATGATGATGATGATGATGATGATGATGATGATGATGATGATGATGATGATGTGTGTGTGTATGTGGGTGAGTGACCCGCGGCCGTCCAGAGAAAACAAGAACCCCACTCAGGATGTGGGGAAATATATGGTACTCTTGATTCGCTGAACGCCTCCGAGGGGGGCGCATGGCACCAGCGTGTCTTTCTGCGTCCGATACACAGTCAATGTTCTCCGGTGATCTGTTGTTTTGGATCGAGTCTCGAACGAAAACAGAAAAGGCTGCGCGTTGCGATCTCCAAGGGCTCGTCGGGCCAAATTGCCTACGGTGCAGTATCGAACGAGTATCGTCGACGACGATGGGACCAGAGGCGGAGCTTAGAGGTGCATTGCACTGCTCGTTTTGATATCCACAACGTTTTCTTTTGTTTTCTTGTTTGAACCGCAGGTGCACGCGGATTTCTTTGGTTGGCGCTGGGCTCCCGTGGCGGCGCCTGTGGCGCCGCTCCTGGCACGCTTCGCGCGCCAGGGAGGGGGATCCATCCAGTGCCGATCCAAAAAGTCTGGCGGGGTCCGAAAGTATATGTTCTCCATCGATTTGCAGAGGGCGCGGCCTGTGCGAACGGCAAGGTGCATCAGGCTACGCGTGAAAGTGACCTTTCGCCGCAGTGACCTGTTGTGAGGGCCCACAGGGATCCCGCCAGCAAGGGCTGGCGCGCTTGGATTGCTTGGATTCGGCCTTCCCCGCGGCCCCCTACAGCCTACAACCTTTCAAGAAATCCGCGTGGAATCCGAGCGTAGAAATGCAGTGCACAGTGGGGGCCCATTGGGCTGGACTCCAGCAGCTGCGCATGCGGACGCTCCTCCCTGGCGGCGTCCCCGCGTTGACCGCGCAGCCGCCATCGCTGCCAGGCCCGGCCCCCGCAGCACGCCGGGATTTGGGCGTCGCCCACGCGCCGCAGGTCGGGGTGCGCCGCAGACGGCGACGACCACGACGACCACGACGATGACGACGACCACGACGGCGGCGGCGGCGGCGCCGATGACGGACCGCGACGACGACGACGACGACGACGACGACGACGACGACGACGACGACGGACGACGACGACGACGGACGACGACGGACGACGACGACGACGACGGCGACGGCGACAACGGCGACGGCGACAACGGCGATAACGACGCCGACGGCGGCGGCGGCAACGACGCCGACGACGACGACGACGACGACGACGATGACAACGACGGACAGGGACGACGCCGCCGCCGACGACGACGACGACGATGACGACGTGTACAGCAGCGACTGCGACAGCGGCGGCGACGACGACAATGCAGGCCAGGCCAGTCCTGAGCCCAACTGGTGGATACGCGGGTTTTGAGATTACATCCAAAAGTGAGGATCGGCTGGGCCAGGGTCGCTTTACGTGGATCGGGGGGTTGCACGGATGATCGGCCTGGCCAGGGTCGCCACCATCGCCGTCCGTCGCCGCCCATCGTCGTCGTCGTCGTCGTCGTCGTCGTCGTCGTCGTCGTCGTCGTTGGCGGCGTCGCTGGTCGTCGTCGTCGTTGCTGGTTGTTGATTTCTCATTTCTGAAGAATACTTATTGTTGATCCCCCCCACCGGTGCATACTGTTTTTTCTCAATCAAAGTGTGCCCCTCGACGCTCGCACCCTGTTCTTTGAAAGGGAAAGTCTTCCTGCTCAAACTGGGCCCCTGGCCCCCGGGTTCCAACAACAACGGCTCCCGCTTAAGACTTCCTTACAATTTAGCCAGGACCCCCGCTCCCGCCCGAGACGTCCTCGCATTTTATTCAGAAATCGCGCTCTCTCTTGGGACTCCCTCACAATTTATTCAGGAATCGCTCTCCTGGCGCTCTGGAGTCGCGCTCTCGCTGGAGACTTGCTTGCAGCTTACTGAAGAATGGCCTTGCGTTGGAATTTCCTGCAATTTGCTCAAGCGCCGCGCTCCCGACACCCAGGCACCCAGGAGTCGCGCCCGTTGTGGCCCCATGTGCGTGCCCTTCGTGGCCCCGCTGTCGCCATTTGTGTCCCCCTCACTGTCCTACGTGGCCCAGTTGCTACCCTCAGTGGCCCCATAGTTGCCGTCTGTGGCCCCGCTTTATCTGCACTTCGTGGCCCCCGCTCGTTCGCGCTCTTCGTGGCCCCATACGCATTCCCTTCGTGTCCCCGCTGTCGCCTTCGTAGCCTACTTCGTGCCCTTCGTGGCCCTGCAGTCGTTCTCTCTCGCTCTCGCTTTCGCTCGTCGTCGCCGTCGTCGTCGTCGTCGTCGCCGTCGTCTTCGACGTCGTCGTCGTCGTCGTCGTCGTCGTGGTCGGTCCCCTGTCCGTCCCTCTTAGGGTCGGGTCGACGGTCCGCGGCCGCCCCGCCGCTTGCCGGGGCCCGGCCTGCAGGGGTGAAAGGTATACCCCCCAAAAGGGGTTCGATCGAAGACGAAGAGGGCGGGTATCGAGGGTTTGGTAAATACGCGTTATTGGACACTCGAGCATATAAAGGCGAACGGTCTTAAAATTATCGTTGTTGTTGTTGTTGTTGTGGTCGTTGTTGTCGTCGTTGTCGTTGATCTTTCAGTGCTGATAATTATTGTTGATCCCCCCGTCCGGTTTTTTCGATTGAAGTGCCCTTCCCGGGGCTCGCACCTTGTTTTTTATCAGGGAAAGTCTTGAGGGTCACACTGTGTCGTTGGCCCCTGGTTCACAACAACAACGGCTCCCGCCTGGTACTTCCTCGCAATTTATTGAAGAATCGCGCTCTCGCTTTGGACATCCTTGCAATTTACCACCGGATCGCGGCTTCCGCTTGATACTTCCTCACAATTGATTGAAGAATCGCGCTGTCGCTTGGGACTTCCTCGCAACTTGCCACCGTATCGCGGCTCCCGCTTGATATTTCTTCACGATTTATTCAGATGCCGCTCTTCGACATTCAGGAATCGTGCTCCCGCTACATATTGCCTGGTGGTTCAAGTAGAATTTACGCTTCAACGACCCGCCCGCTCGACCCGCCCGTCTCGGCCTGCACGCCCGAACAGCACGTTAGGGACTGCAGTCGCCGCTCGCTGCCCTTCGCCCGCCTTCAATGCCCCTCGCTGCCCGTACTGGTTCCGCGGTCGCCTTCGCTCGCTGCCCTTCGTGGCCCCGTTGCTGCCCTCAGTGGCCCCGTTGCAGCCCTTCGTGGCCCCGCATTGTATGCCCTTCGTGGCCCCCGCTCGCTGTCGCCCGTCGTGGCCCCATACGCATCCCCTTCGTAGCCCTACTGTCGCCCTTCGTGGCCCTCTCGCTGCCCTTCGTGTCCCTTTTGCTGCCCTCAGTAGCCCCGCTGTCGCCCTTTGTGGCCCCGTATACGAATGCCCTTCATGGCCCCCGCTCGTTCGCGCCCGTCGTGGCCCCATATGCATGCCCTTCGTGGCCCCGCTGTCGCCCTTCGTGGCCCCCTCTCTGCCCTTCGTGGCCCCGTTTCTGCGCTCAGCGGCCCCGTCGCTGCCCTTTGTGGCCCCGGATTAATTGCCCTTCGTGGCCCCCGCTCGCTCGCGCCCTTCGTGGTCCCATACGCATGTGTTTCGTCGCCCCGCCCTGCCCAGGCCACCCCGTCCCACCCGAACAATCTCCACCCTTTCCCGCTCGCATTCCGCATTTTTCCAAATTGTTCCCAGTCCCTCCTCCAGATTCCTCCGTGCGCCCCCCGCTCCTCCGCACTCCTCCCGGCTCCTGTTCTCCACTCCTGGCCGCTCCTCCTCCTGATACCCTACTCTTGTCCACTCCATCCCAATCCGCTCCACATCCCCGCGCTCCTCTCGACACGGTGGCAGCTCTCACCATCCTTCCGCCCCATTCTCCCAACATCCAGCTTTTCGTCAGGGTTCCACGAAATTTGTTTCTGACATCAGTTCACAGCTGTACGTCCCCCCGTGGGGGTATCCACGATATGTTCTTTCAGGGGGATGGTACGTGGCGCTGTTTATGGCGCGACCCATGGCGAAACTTGTTGTTAACCTTTGCTGGAGTGGCTGGCGCAAGCCATGGCGCAAACTGAATCGCCATTCGCAGAGCAAATCATCGTCCTCCCTCCTTCTCGCCCCTCCCCTCTCTTCCCCCGATCCCTTCGTCCTTATTCTCCCCCCGTTATCTGTTGCCCTTCGTTTTCAAGGGCTTCACGAACCACGCGTGGCAGGGAATGAATATACCCCCCGGAAAAAAGGGTACGATCGAAAGCGAAGAGGGCGGGTATCCAGGTTTGGGATATGCACATTGAATGACACGCGAGCACGGAAGAGCGAACAATCTTAAAATGGTTGTTGTTGTTGTTGTTGTTGTTGTTGTTATCGTTGTCGTTGTCGTTGTTGTTGTTGTTGTTGTTGTTGTTGTTGTTGTTGTGGTTGTTGTTGTTGTTGTTGTTGTTGTTGTTGTTGTTGTTGTTGCGGCTGCTGCTGTTGTTGTTGTTGTTGTTGAAATTCATATCTCATTTATGAAAAAAAATTATGGTTGACCCCCCCGTCCGGTGCACGTTGTTTTTTCGATCGAAGTGCCCTTCCCGGGGCTCGCACCTTGTTTTTTATCGGGTAAAGTCTTGAAGGTCAAACTGTGTCGTTGGCCCCCGGTTTACAACAACAGCGGCTCCCGCCTGATATTCCCTTACAATCTAACCAGGGCCCCCGCTCCCGCCCGATATTTCCTCGCGTTTTATTGCAGAGCCGCGCTCTCGCTTGGGTCTTCCTTAGAATTTCTTCTCCGGGCGCTCTGGAGTCGCGCTCTCGCTGGAGATTTGCTTGCGATTTACTGAAGAATGGCGCCCTTGCGTTGGAACTTCCTGCAATTTACTCGAGCGCCGCGCTCCCGACACCCAGGCACCCAGGAATCGCGCTCACGCTTAGGACTGCCTCGCAGATTACATAGGAATCGGGATCTCGCTGCCCTTCGTGGCCCCGGTGCAGCCCTTCGTGGTCCCTTCGCTTTGTTTCATGGCCCCGTTGCAGCCCTTCGTGGCCCCCTCGCTGCCCTTCGTGGCCCAGTCGCAGCCCCTCGTGGCTTCCTCGCTGCCCTTCGTGGCCCCGTTGCAGCCCTTCGTGGCCCCCTCGCTGCCCTTCGTGGCCCCTTCGCAGCCCTTCGTGCCCCCCTCGCTGCCCTTCGCGGCCCAGTCGCAGCCCCTCGTGGCCTCCTCGCTGCCCTTCGTGGCCCCGTTGCAGCCCTTCGTGGCCACCTCGCTGCCCTTCGTGGCCCCGTCGCAGCCTTTCGTGGCCCCGTTGCAGCCCTTCGTGGCCCCCTTGCTTTGTTTCATGGCCCCGTCCACCCTTCGTGGCCCCCCCGCAGCCTTCGTGGCCCCGTTGCAGCCCCTCGTGGCCTCCTCGCTGCCTTTCGTGGCCCCGGTGCAGTCCTTCGTGGCCCCCTTCCTTTGTTTCGTGGCCCCGTTGCAGCCCTTCGTGGCCCCCTCGCTGCCCTTCGTGGCCCCGTCGCAGCTCCTCGTGGCCTCCTCGCTGCCCTTCGTGGCCCCGTTGCAGTCCTTCGTGGCCCCCTCGCTTTGTTTCGTGGCGCCGTTGCAGCCCTTCGTGGTCCCCTCACTGCCCTTCGTGGCCCCGTCGCAACCCTTCGTGGCCCCGTTGCAGCCCGTCGTGCCCCCCTCGCTATCCTTCGTGGCCCCGTTGCATCCCTTCGTGGCCCCTTCGCTGCCTTTCGTGGCCCCAGATCTGTATGCCCTTCGTGGCCCCCGCTCGTTCGCGCCCGTGGTGCCCCCATATGCATATGTCCTACGCGGCCCAGTTTCTACCCTCAGTGGCCCCATCACTGCCTTCTGTGGCCCCGCATTATCTGCCCTTCGTGGCCCCCGCTCGTTCGCGCTCTTCGTGGCACCATACGCATTCCCTTCGTGTCCCCGCTGTTGCCCTTCGTGGCCTACTTCGTGTCCTTGTGGCCCTACTGTCGTTCTCTTTCGCTCTCGCTTTCGC